GGCCCGGTCGCGCCTCCGTGACGTCCCTAGAGAGCCTGCGCGTTGACTTTCCGGTGGCGCGCTCTTATTACGTAACCATGCCGCGGCCATCTTGGTAAAGGAAATTCCGGCCCGGCCTCGGCCCGACTCTAAGTCATCAGCCATTTCTTCTTCTTTATAAAACGAGGATATTTCGTGAATCTTCGTTATTTGTTCCCACTTCATATATTGGAGAGCCAGAATGGTGGACAGAAGGTATAATCTAGAACATTACCTTTACAAAGATGGCCGCTGCCCGGATGAAAGATGGTGGCCTCGATTTCACACGTGGTCTGACGGCGTCAGCCAGGAGTTCGCCCGCGGTCCATATGGGGAGATGATCCAGGTAGTATTGGCAACCAGTTTTAGCTTTGAAAGCGCTTTCCTAGTCCAGAAATCTTCGTCCCACTCACGACGCTAGGGCACAGGAGAGAAAGGGGCATAGAAAGTAACGCCCCCTGGGCTGGAGCTCGGTGGCAGAGCGCTCCTCATCCTCAGCGCGTGCTGCCCCCGTGCCCCCGGGAGAAGAGAAACCAGGCCCTCCGCGCGGTGCAGGGGAAGCTGAGGCCCAGAGAGATCAGGAATCAAATTTGGCTAAAGTGTAACTGTGGGCGGTTCAAAATTTTCCTCTTTCGTTCCTACTGGCCTTTTCCCCTGGATCACTGCCTCTACCTCCCCTATTTTCGTTTTTCTATTTTATTTTCCTTTTTATTTATTTATTGTTTTGGTAAGGAGGATTGAACTCAAGGGCTCTTAACCATTGAGCCACATCCCCAGCCCTTTTTTTTTTGAGACAGGGTCTCACTGAGTTGCTTAGGACCTTGCTAAATTTGCTGAGAATGGCTTTGAACTTGTGATCCTCCTGCCTCAGCTTCCGGAGACGCTGGGATGACAGGCACCTTTATTATTTTATTAAGAAAGTAGGTTGGGACACCAATTTGTCTTAGGCACCTATGCATCAGTATGTCTTAAATGACTAAGCCTTAGTATCCTCTTCAAGACTCAGCGGTAGAGCGCTCGCCTTACATGTGCAAGGCCCTGGGTTCAATCCTTAGCACCACATAAAAATAAAGTTATTAAAAAAAATGTACCATCTTAAACAGTTTAAAGTGTGCAGTGTAGTAGGTTTCTTCCTTCTCTTCTTCCTCTTTCCTACTGGAGTCAGAACCCCAGGTTGCTTACTACTGAACTACATCCCCCAGACCTTTATTTATTTACGCTTTGACACCGGGTCTTGCTAAATTGCTTAGGATCTTCCTAAGTTGGGGAGGCTGGCCTTGAACTGGTGATGTTCCCGCTGCGCAGTCTCCTGAATCCCTAGAGTGACAGATCTGTGCCACCATGCCACGCTTAGATTTCTTTCAAGAGCATTTCATTTTATGATTTTCATGACACTGTAAATCATTAGAGCCTTTATGAGTTTGCTGAAAATGTAATTTTCAGGTCAACTCGATGACAGTAGAAAAATGTCACTGAATTCATAACGACAATGCTTGGGTGCCTGGGCAATGTCTATAGTAGGCAGAGGGCGCCCCCAGGTGTTCAGGATCCCTGGATACGGGAATCCTTGGTCCTCTAGCAAGAGATTTTGAAGATGTAGTGAAGGGTGTGGACTTTAAAATGCTGCAGAGGAGACACTGTGGTGAGTGAAGAAGGCAGGCACAGACAGACAAGCAGGGCCTGGCTCCTTCCATGTGCAAGTCCATGTGCAGGAGAAGAGAGTGGAGTGGGTGCTGTTGGGTTAAAAGCCAGTCGGGCCCTGGAGAGCCAGAGTCTCCAAAGAACATGGGGCTGGGGAGTTTGGAGGGAAGAGGGCCACTCCTTTACCTCCAGTCCTTGGGGGAGGACCTAGAAACAGGATCCTTGGCTGTAAGTTGGCACGAGGTGGCCCTCCACCGTCCCAGCCCCCGCCCTCAGGAGTAAGTAGTGACATGTCCAAAACCTCTCCATGGAGTCCTCCGGGTTCTTTCTTTGAGATCAGAAAGCAATAAGCTGCAGTGTCGGGGCTGTTGCAGTCCTGGGGTGGAACAGCTGGTGACCAGAGGCAGGGGAATGGAGGAATTGGGGGAATCACGGTAGAAGGAAGCAAAGTTTGAGTTAGGAAGAACTATTCCAGGTGCTCCACGTTGCTCCTGTGCATTTCCACGGTTGATGGCAAGGTTTTGTGTATTTGAAAATCTGCAGGAGTAGGGATTTCTTTGGTTTGGTTGAACCCAGAGGTGCTTAACCATGGAGCACCATCCCCAGCCCTTTTTATTTTTTATTTACAGACAGGGTCTCACGAAGGTGCTTAGGGCCTTGCTAAATTACGAGGCTGGTGTGGAACTCCTGATCCTCCTGCCTCAGTCTCCTGAACCGGGGGATTACAGGCGTGGGCCACTGTGCTGGGCAGACAGAGTAGGTTGCTCGGCTCCATTTGGTTTAGTTTGGGTTTGGGTGCTGAGCTCCTTCTGGGCCAGACTTTTGCAAGTGCTCGCATCGCTGTGGCCCTGTGCACACAGGCAGAGGCCTAGGAAGAGGCTCCACTGCAGGTCGCTACGTGAATCATACGGATACAATG